TTTTACATTCATCAGTTCTTTCCTGTGAGTTACTCCTCTGATTTCACAAATGTCATGTATTTTGATGTATTGAGGATGCCAAAATGTTTTTAGAAATTGTATGATTTGTATAAGTATTTTCAAAATGTCTGCTGTCCCATTGATGACCAGGCTGCTGTTTCATGTGTTTTTCATGTTTTTCCTTCTGTGTCTTCTCATCCTCCAGTGAGGTAAAATCCATCCACACCTGCCATTTGCCAACAGAGCAAAAAGGCACATCTGCCTTGAGTCTGCTCGTGGTCCATCTGGATGCTGGTAAAATTGTGATTTTAAATCTCTGGTTGCAGCTTAGGTTGCTGTGCCCAGCTGCCATTTCAGTTTTGAGTGTCTAGCGGACATTCACTCCTGAGGCTCTGCTATGCTGGTTCGGATTCAATACCTATAACTGATGTAGTTCTGGGGACAAGCCTTTCAGGGCTCTTAGCATCACGCCTCTGTCTCCGCTGTGAGGATTTGCTTGCAGGAGTACGTCTTTATTGCTCGTTTCTGCCTCCTTTCTGTGCAGTTGTTTTCTAGGAGTTGCAGCCTCTGAAGAGATGCAGAAAGAAGCCTGATGGCAGTTGAGTAGCGCATTTGAACTGCCTCAAGAAACAGTGTTGTTGCTCAAGGAGATGGGGACTCTGGTTTCTGGGTGATTTTTTCCTTTTGTCTCTGAGTCAAGGGGCTGCCTTCCATCTAGATCTAAGTCTGCCCCTGCGCTGTTTCAGTACGCAAAGCTTGCATGGCCGCTGATAACAGTAGGTCCTCGAATGATGTCATTTCATTCAACATCGTGTTTTTTTATTTTTAATTTTTTTAATTTTTATTTTTAGAGACGGGATCTCATTTTGTTGCCCAGGCTGGAGTGCAGTGGCATGATCACTGCTCACTGCCACCTTGAATTCCTGGGCTCAAGGGATCCTCCCACCTCAGCCTCCTGAGTAACAGACTACAGATGCATGCCACCATGCCCAGCTAATGTTTAAATTTTCTGTAGAGATGGGGTCTTGCCATCTTGCCCAGGCTGGTCTTAAACTCCTGGGCTCAAGAGATTCCTCTTGGCCTCCCAAAGTGCCAGGATTACAGGTGTGAGCCACCACGCTGGGCTCAATGTCATTTTATTATAATATCGATGAGAAAAAAAGAAAAGGATTCCCAGCTAGGGCCACTGTCTGTATGGAGTTTGTTTGTCTTCCCCCTGTCTGCCTGGGTTTTCTGCAGACACTCCGGTTTCCTCTCCATCTCACAGATACGCATGTTAGGTTATCTACGTGGTTCCACTGTGAGTGAGTGTGGGTGTGTCTGAGTGCACCTTGCCATGGCATCCTGTCCGGGGTGCGTTCCTGCCTGGAACTCTGAGCTGCCAAGAGAGACTCTGGCCGCCCGAGACTCTGAATTGGAATAAGCTGGTAAATAATTACCTTATTTATTTTTATTAATTTTTCTTAAATATACTTATAGCCCACATTTATGTCAGTGTTTAATATTAGAAGTGTTTTGGTCTTTATTTAGAAGTTTAATAATGTTTTTGTGACCAGAAGTGTGCCATAGAAACTTAATTCTTATTTATATTTATAAGACTGTGGTAAAATTGGTTTTGTTATATGTCGTTTTGCTTAAAGTCGCAGTTTCCAAGAATCTATAGATGATGTTAAGAGAGAATTTACTATACTTGTGTAGGACATCTAAAAATTGTACAGTTCAGTATTCAGAAATGAGGCTCTTTTTCCCTTTCTGTTTCTCCCTGCCTTTTCTCAGGGTGGTGTCTGGGTTCGGGAGGACGCTTGTGTAGCATCATGGCCTGGGGGTGGCGGGGGGTGGCGCGTGCATCTGGTCCTTGCTGTTCTCTCAGAGGCAACCTGTTCCGCTTGGTCTGTGGATATGGGAAGCCAACTGGGGCGTCCGCTGACTTGTAGCTGGTCCCATTTAGCCTTTGCCATCTGCCAGCAGATGCTGATGTTCTATGTGGTCCCTGCCACATCCTCTCTGGTGGGAGGCTGTGTGCCACCCCCTCATCGCGACCCCAGTCATCTTCACAGGGGCATGTGAGAGCTTCTGGTCTCCTTCAAGCCACAGGCCAGCCAACCATGGGGAACTGTGTGTGTGTGTGTGTGTGTGTGTGTGTGTGTGTGTGTGTGTGTCTGTGACTGGGGGATGGGGGAGAGAGAGACAGATGACTTCAGCCCCTGTCTCGCTGTAAGCATGCCACACTGCCTTTGCTTCTCTGCAGCTGTCGTGGGTGGATGGAGAGCACTGCGTTCCTGTGTGCGGGGTCTCCCTTCAGTTCCAGGTGTACAGTGAGGCAGAGCTCACTCTGCTCTGGGCTTCTCCGTCCTCTTCAGGTTCTCTATGCACCTCCAGGATTTCACCTCCAGGGGCTGTGCCGGGGAGCAGCTTAATACCTGTATCACTTGTGTCTGCTCTAAACTCATCCCCTCTGCAGTCTTCTAGGTCCTCCAGATCCTTATTTGGGATGGGTTTTAATTTCTTCCATGGGTGGCAGTAAGCAATTTAAATCACATCCTGCAGTCGTCCTCTTTCAGGACTCACATGAAAAACTGTGCTCAATCATCAAACTTTTGGCTCATGATCTCTAAAGGGAGATTTTTTTTTTTCCTTGTCACATGAATGTTTGTGGTGAAGAGAGGAATTTTAAAAATTTTCTTATTAACTTTTAATTTTGATGTAACTTCAAATTTGAAGTCAGAAGAAAAGTACAAAGGATTCTCAAACACTCTTTATCCAGAGTCTCCAAATGATGAAATTTTACCACATTCTCTTTTCTCTCTCCCTCTCCACACAAGGACACACATATACACACATACATGCACGATTATACATATAAATCAGGAAATGATTGTTATGCAATTATCAATAGGCTTTATTGAGATTTTGCCAATTGTCCCATGAATATTCTTTCTAGCAGAAGAAAAATCTCAGGCTATGCATTATAATTCCCGTCATACCTTTTAGTCTCTGTGTTTTATGACATAGACTTTTTTGAAGATAGTAGGCCTATTATTTTGTACCATGTCCTCTAGTTTGGGTTGGTTGGTTTCTGCTCGGTTAGGTTCAGGTTATGTGTTTTTGGCAGGAATCCCACAGAAGTGATAGTGTCCTTCTCAATGGATCAGATCAGGAAATGCGTGATGGTGATGGTCCCGACACTCACAATGTTAACTTTAGATGAAAATGGTGTCTACCAGGTTTCTCCATGGTAAAGTTACTATTTTTCCTTTGGTAATTAATACATTATCTTGTGGGGAGATAGATGCTTTGAGGCTATTATCCTATTATTCCTCAAACTGTCACCCACTAGTTTTATCGTTCATTGACGATACTTACCTGAGTCAATTATTATGATGGCTACTAAATGGTTAATTCCATAATTTCTTCTACGTTATTTCTGAAAAAGAAGGAAGAACTTTCTAAAGGGAGACTTTTGGAATTCAGAAATTTTTTTTTCCCTCAAGGGTTAGCCTCTTGCAACTGAATGCCCAGCTTTTAAACTCTTGTCTTTTAAACTCAAAGCTGATCGATGGCACCCTTGTTGTAGGTAGTACGCACCTCTCTCTGAGGCAGTGAATACCACTGGGATGATGGGCAAAGAGCCACAGGGTCACAAGAGTAATTTCACCTTCTTCTTACCACCTGCGTGACACTGGCCTCAGATAGTCGCTGATCACCTGTGAGGGTTTGCAGTATTGTAAATTTTCATATTTTTATGTCTTTACAGGTGTTTTAGTATAAAATTGAGTGAAATGGTTATCCTAAAGGAATTATGGGATAGAAAATAAATGTATTACCACTTCAGGACTATGATGTAAATGTAACTTAAACTGATAATAAAATGTTGCCAAATTACTGACTTGCTGAGCCTACTTTTAATGAATATTGAAGATCTCTTAATAGTGGTTGCACCAAAAAAATGAAAGTTCAAAAACAATTTTAAACCTTTTTGTTTTCTAAGTAGTTTACCGCTCTCTCCCCAGGCTTACACCACAAATTTGCTTGATTAACTCATCAAAGATTGTACAAAGACTAACAGTATAATGTCAACCCCAGTTCCTAATTCATTATTATGAACTCCAAATTAGGGAATTGGTGTTGATGAATTAGTGTTTATAGCAGAAGTTTTGCATTTTGAATTTGGTGGTTGTGTGTTGAGGGTAAATGTATCTTCTGCCTGCTTTCTTTGTCTGTATCAGCTCATAGGGGGTGTCTGAACTTGGTTTGCTTTCTGGGAGAGGTGGTGGATCCTGTAATATCCTCAAGATTTCCCATGTTTTCTGAGGCAGAACCATTTCTGTGCCACAACGTAGCAGATTCTCTCACGTCAGGGTATAGAGACACACTTGTAATAAAATGTTTATGTTAGCAGCATCTTGCAAATATACAGTGTCCAAATTAGCTAGTAGGAGATCTTAAAAATAAATACATTGAAACAAAGAAGTTGAAAAACACAATGTCCTATTTTCTTTATGGAGGTGCCAAGAAAATACAGTAGAAAAGAAGAAAGTTAATTACTAAGAGTCTCCCAAGTTATCTCTCACATGCTTTCATCTTAATGACTGATCACATATTTGAAGTCTCCACCCTGAGGACCTAAAGAAAATCACAATTATATTTACTCAGTGTGCATATTCTCTGTATTATGAGCATCAAGATTTGGGTGCATTGTCTCTGGAGAGTTAATGTGATATTTTAGCACACTGTTACACTTTTTTTTTGTGCTTAAGTTCTAGGGAAATGCTGTTTAACTATCTTAGCTCCTATAGTTTGTTTCATTGGCTCCTCTATACAAAGATGATTGTCATTTCTACTTGGAGGTGACATTGACATTGTCTTAAGAAATTTGTATGTCTGGAGGGGATTGAGGAATACTGGAGAGAATATTAAATGTTATCTTTTAAAAACAACTTTGTAGACAACTTCTTAATTTATTTTGTGAGCATTGAACAGATGATTTTTTAAATCAGCAGGTCCTTCTCATGAGAATGAAGACAACTTTTCCTCCGTGTTTCATACTCAGATCCCTCCAGAAGAATATGAAAAGCAGATGCAGAAACTCAGTAAAGGTATGTTTTAATTTGTGTGATCATACATATTTTCACAAGGGAATACTAGCTGTATACAGAAATATTCATAAATGAAATAAGTTCATGTAATTTAATCCAAAGGTAAGTGGAAGCAAGGAGGGTTCAAGATGACACAAGACAGGTCAAACAAGATGACATTGTTGCAGGTAATTGCTGAGAATCTGTTATACCATTCTACTTTGGATGCTTGACATTTTGTATAATAATAAAGAGTTTTTTTAAAAGCTGGCTGCAAGTAATAAGAACCTGGCTTCAGCAGAAACAAACCTGTGAAAAGGATTTTGGTGGGAGGCAGCTTTCTTTGGTTCCCAAGAGCATATGCTGTGGTTAGTCATTCAGAGGTTGGCTCAATTCTGCAATCCTAGAGAAGAGCCTGAGTGATCCAGCTGGGTCAGGGGTCTACGCCTGGCTCAACCAACTTGTCCAACCCAGCAAGGTTTGGGGTCATTCTGGGAACATGGCAGCTATATCACTGCCAGACTGGAGAGGAGAAGAGGACATTTACAGTGAGGACAGTTCTGGCCAGATAACCCTGTGTGTTTCCCCTGCTATTTATTAGAAACGTATTTTAAAGAAGCTCTATGATAAATATAAACATGGCTGTGTTCAATTTGTATTTTTTAAATGTTGTATTGCTTACGAGTATATGAAACTTCAGCTGAATGAATAAACAAACCTCATATTTCAACTTAAAAGACAGTATACAACTTGAATTATGGAAAGAAGTGTTATATCTTGTATCTATTAGGCCAATAACCAAAAAAGGAACTCATACTTTAACTATTGGTAGTTGATTTAAAAGATAATTATGTGATTGTTAAAAAATAAAACCCCAGGTTTAAAGCGTAGGTTTATTTGCCTATAAGCTTATGTAAGTTAAATTTGAGTAAAATTTTTTTTTACTCAAAGCTACTTTTGTTTGAAAACAATTTTAATCAAAAGATCTTACTCTTTCCCTTGTTCTTTCCAGCTATTTTCATCAAAAATTTTTAAATGGTTACATCTGTATTGACTTTTTGATAACTAGCTATAAACACACCAATTGACTAGCTCACTTCATCCTTTTTGTTCAGGTAACCTCCCTTAGAAAACAAAATTAACTTTTCTGTAAACTTTGTCTGGATTGAGCTTGTGACTGGTGTTTTTTTCTTTTGTGGACTTTAATGTGGAAATGCATCCTGTTTTGTAGGGCAAACTGCATGTGCTATTTAAGGAGACGTTCCTTCTTCGTGCATATTTTCAGAGCTTTGATTAAGGGCTCACATGATCTTGTTTTAAAATATTTTAATGTGACACAGAGAAAATGAGATATTTTATAAAGGGGAATATGAGTCCACAAGTATTTTTCTTATTCTTATTTTGAGCACTCAGTGTCTGAATATCTCAGACATTGACTCAAGCCTCTTCTGAATGGTTGAGGAAAATTGGCCAACTGAAATGGGCGCTAGGGGTTTGTATGGATGGGAGCCAGGACATGGGACACTAATTCCCGGACCTTGCTCAAAAGACAGGCTAAACAAAATGCACTGTTCAGAAGGGGTGATGGCAAATTAATAGAATAGCAGGGATGACCTAGTCTTTAGGGAAATTTTTGTTTTGTGTCAAGACTGCAATAAAATATGTATTTTAAAGTCTCCCTAACATCAGCAATTTCTTCGTCTCATGTCTGTCTTGAAGTTCTATTGATATTTCCCATCATTCTCATGGAATCAACAGGAAGAAGTTTGATATGTGATAATGAATTACACAAGTTTTATGAGAACTTCATTTGAAGTTACAGTAGCACATTTATCTTTTTAAGAATAGATCTCCATTATATATGAGGGATCTGGAATGTAGAAGTTAGTTCTTCTGTGTATGTTTTATTTCTTATATATTTTAATATATGCTTAAAGTGGGCTTTTAGCATAATTGACACTTTTAACTACGAAAAATTTTTGAACTTTCTTAATATTAGATTTTACCTGTGATGTGGAAAGAAATGAGTCATTGATCAAAGCAGGAAAGAAACCTTTCTCAAATACAGAAAAGATTGAGCTCAGGGGTAAACACAACCAGGATTTTATTAAGAGAAACATTGAGGTATGTACTTAGAAATTCAGAAGCGAGAATTTGGGGCTAAATGAGCTGAAAAAATGGCAATGGTTTTTTCAGTTCAGTGTCTTGAAATATTTTTTCAACCATCATAAATGTATAAATGATTGAATTAGTAGATATAATAAAAGAAAACTTTTTATAAACCAGTACTTCATTATTTCTATGTTCAACCCATTACATCTTATCCTATCCTATCTCCTTTTAAAACTGCTAGGTGCATCTATCATTTATTTCACTATCCAGAAATAGTCTGTTTCCTGCAATTTGCAAAACATTTATTTAGATAATAGCTTTGGACAATGTTTCTCAGACTTTAAATTGCGTATTGGTAAAATCATTTTTTTTAAGTAATAAGACTGATTTTATAGCTAGTACATTTACAACTTTGAATGGAAAATGCTCCTGGCAGCAGCTGGGCTGGAGAAGCCAACTGGTTGTCTGCCTCTTCGCTGAACCTCCCGGCAGCTGGTCACTGGCCTTGATTAGCTTCCGCTTCAAGCACCCATCTTTGGTCTTACAGGCCTTGCAACCTGACTTGGTTTGTCTTTAAGGCAGACTTACACTAAACAAGGGCACAGGGGTTGCTGGGTTTGCGATTGCAACAAGAAATATAGTGAGGAGGACAGAAGCTCTGCACAGCCCTTGAACAGCGTCACTAGAAAACTGCATGGGCAAGTGTGGAGTATTGACAAGAGAGAGTTAAGTAATTTTTTACATTTCAAGCCTGATGCTTTCCCCATAATTGGCAGATCATTTCCAGGCAGACTGGATTTGTGGGACAGCCTGCCACTGCCAGGACTGGCCTCTGGGACGCTTGACTTTTGTGCTCCACGTTCATATGATCTTCTTCAGGAAACCTTCTCCATCTCGATCTGTCTCTTTCTTTGCATTGGCCGGTTGTATGTTGATTTACTGCTCAATTTTCCTAGAGCAGTAGAGTTCCCCCCTTATCCAGGTGCTTGCTGACACAGCAGGTCTACCGTAGATGTCTCTTTCCCCTTTTTAATAGTAACTGAATATTTAAATTCCTCATATGATAGTCTTGAAATTTAAAAGCACTTTCATTTAGTGGACCAGTACCCCAAAGAAAGTGGCAAGAAGATTTCTTCCAAATGTCTCAGCAAGGATGTTTTTGCATTTATATTTTTTTATCTATGATAGAGAGGTTTGAAAACTGCTCATATTATTTTTTAATAAAATGTCTGTTGGAATGGTTAACAGGAAGGCCTACTTATAGGGATATCTTTGGATATTAGAAAATGGCCGTATACAAAAATTTTTGCGTAAATAAAATTACCTAGCAAATATAAAATGCCTAATCTCGCAACTTTTCTCTTTTTGTATCTGTAGTGTAGAAGTCTCAGGTTCCATTTTTATTTTCCTGAACTATGAGTTTCTTTGATTATATAATATTTCCATTAATAAATTCTGTAGTTGGCCAAGGAATCAAGAAACCCAGTGGTTATGATTGAGAGAGAGAAGAAAAGGCTGGTTGAGCTTTTGAAGGACTTGGATGAGAAAGATTCCGGGCTCTCCAGTTCTGAGGTACGTAAACTCTGATAGAGAACTCTACACTTCCTAATTTTGATTTAAAAAAATCATATTATTGACCCAGTAGCACAAATTTACAATAATTTTTCAGATTCTGAGACATTATTCTCTGACTTAAAAAAAATCCTGTTTTACTAACACAGAACAGACAACAAAATACCGCATGTTCTCACTTTTAAGTGGGAACTAAATGATGAGAACACATGGACTCATAGAGGGGAGTGACACACACTGGGGCCTGTTGGAGAGTAGAGGCTGGGAGGAGGGAGAGGATCAGGACAAATAACTAATGAGTATTAGGCTTAATACCTGGGTAAAAAAATAATCTGCACAACCCCCATGACAGAAATTTACCTGTGTAATAAACCTGCACATGTACCTCTGAACTTAACATACAAGTTAATTTTTTAAATCCTGTTTTGTACAATTATTTTTATTGAAGTTTTCAAATTTATTCTTGGTCAATTCTTTATTGACTTTCAGAGGATTATTTAATGTCATTCTAAGAGTGTTTACACATTGGTTATCAAAATAACTTCTGCCTGTGATGTGATGTACTTATTACTGATGACATATGAATGTGTTTTTCTGTCTCCTTTTCTTACTGTCCCTAAACTGGTTTTGTGGTGTTTCAGTGTAGTCTTCAGTAATCCTGAAGAATTCCATCCTGTTCCTGCCCAGTTAACTTTGAGCAGCCACTTCCCTGGAGAGTCCTGGGGTTAACCGGAGGGCCTGCTTATGGTGATAAGTCTGGGTGGGGACAGACTACACTGAAAGAGGGGAACAGCATGTAATGGGGGTGGGGTGGGGCAAATGCAGGTATTTATAGGGCCCGGGAAGGTCACCTAAAGAGTGCTGTGCCACTGTTTGCACTTGTTTACATATTAAACTTGAGGAATATTCTTTGCTTCCATGAAGAAATACACTCTCCTATGTTCCTTGAAGCACTTAGCTCTTTTGTGTATCTTGTATTCCCCTGCATTTAATAAGGACATGATGGATTGAATGCTGCTGGCACCCTGCCCATATCCCCTTTCCCTGACACCTGTCTGTGCATCCATGCCCCAGCCCTGTGCTAAGGGTGCACAGCTGTCCCCTTCCCCGGAGAATTTCCCTGAGCCAAACAGCCCAGGATATCACTCCCTCCTCACCCCGGGCCCTTTATCTAAAGGTGAGAGTAGCTCTGTGGGGCATTGTGTCTTCCAGAGCTTCCCCAGGGATCAGAGTGAAGCTGGTCTTCAGCTGAGACCACATCCTCGCTTGGTCCTGTGCCCTTGCCCTCAGCTGTTTTCCTCACGTCCCTGGTCCCAAAGGCACTCTCCCAATGAATCACTTGAACAAGAATCCTTGTCTTCGTTTCCACATCTAGGGACACAGAGATTCGGAGCGTAGTTTTTTTGCTGTAGGTCCAAAAGCAGTGCGTGTGCAGTGATGCCTGTGGCCCACAGGGGAGGGCGTGCCCATCCAGCGGGAGCTAACAGTCTGTCCCCTGGTGGCTGCTGCATGGAAATCTCAGGCCAGGCCTGCCTGGATCCTCCAATTTTTCAAGGAAAGCTAGAAATTCAGATTTTTTTTTTGTGGGAAATATTAAACTTGTAACATGTTCACAACTGCTCCTATTTAAAAAAGTTCTGTGTGGGCAAACAAAATATCCCTCCCTTCCACCAAAAACCAAACACATATCTACAGAATATCACAGATAATAATCCTCTAAATAATCCTTCCTGAGATGGTGAAGTCCCAGCGGGAGCTGTGTCTAGGAGCAGGTGAAGGTGTTGCTATGCCTGGGACTGATGCAGTAGGGGAAATGGGTGGGTGAGGGAAACTGCTAAATGCCCACATAATTCTGAGATATTTTAGCTTCGCTGATTCATGGTATAGTCATGTGCCACATAATAATGTTTTGGTCAACATTCTTATATGGCAGTGGTCCCATAAGATAATAATGGAGCTGAAAAATTCCTGTCACCTAGTGACACTGTAGCTCTATATTTTAGAGTGTGCTCCTTGTACTTATTATAAAAGAGTGAATTGTAAAACAGCTTCAGGCAGGTCCTTCAGGAGGAATTTCAGAAGCAGGCATTGTTATCATAGGAGATGACAACTCCATGCATGTTACTGACCTAAAGACCTTCCAGTGGGACAAGATAAGGAGTGGAAGACAGTGATATTGATGATCCTGACCCTGTGTAGGCCTAGGCTAGTATGTGCATTTGTGTCTTAGTTTTTCACAAAACCTTAAAAATGAAAAAAGAAAATTTTAAAATAGGAAAAAGCTTATAAAGAAAGAAAATATTTCTCTACAGCTGTATACTGTGTTTGTATTTTAAGCTAAGTGTTATTATAAGAGAGTGAAAAAGTTAAACAAATTTAAAAGTTTTAAAAGTAAAAAAGTTACAGTAAACTAAAATTCATTTATTATTAAATAAAGATATTTTAAAATAAATTTAGTGTTGCCTAAATGTACAGTGTTTATAAAGTCTACAGTAGCAGCCAGTAATGCCCTAGACGTTCACATTCACTCGCCACTCAAGCACTGACTCACCAGAGCAGCTTGCAGTCCTGCAAGCTCCAGTTATGGTTAAGTGCCCTATACAGGGGTGCCATTAAAAATATTTTTATACCATATTTTTATTGTACCTTTTCTATGTTTTAATATGTTTAGATTCACAAATACTTCCCATTGTGTAACAATCACCTACAACACAGTAACTACAAAACATGCTGCACAGGTTTATAGCCCAGGAGCAATAGACTTTACGATGTGGCCCAGGTGTGTAGTACACTCGACCGTCTAGGTTTGGGAAGGACACCCAGTGATTTCTGCACAATGACAGAATTGCCTAGTGATACCTGTCTTAGAACATATATCCCTGTCATTAAGCGACACATAACTGTAATGTGTCTGCTTTATTAACAAAAGCTTAGATACCAGTAAGAATTAAGGGATCTGGGTTTCATTCTGGTTTTGTTATTAATTGTGAAGTTCAGTACTGCTGCCCATGGTCTCACTGCATATCGAACTATGGCGATAGATTTTCTTTATACATTCTAGGAATGCTTTCATAATGACTTTTTGTTAATAATACTGCCTTTTGCACATTATTTTTGTTAGTATTTATGTCGTCTTTCTATTTTAAAGTCATGTCTGTCATTTTAGTTTTTCATCTTTTACAGGTACTGTGTAGCTGGGCTTTTGCTGTTGCTTTTGTGTCTTTGTCTTTGTTTCGTCATCCTTTATCTTTTGTTATTATCAATATGAGGATATTTAATTTACTCATAATCATTATGACCACATACTTTTTGAATCTTTTCCTGACATCAAACTTTATATTTTATTTATCATATTTGTTTTTGTTTATCTCCCTATTCCCTTGTGGTTTGGAAACTTAATATCCTATTTCTGATCTGGTACTGTTAACCTTCAAGTTTTAAAAATATATTACAATTCATATTTTCTTTTCAATTTCCATAATTAGTTTCTAAAATTTCATATTTTAACAAGATTGGATCTTTGGTGTACTTTTATTTCCCTTGTGTTTCATTTTCTTTCCTCCAGGATATATTGAAATCATCTGGAATTTTAGTTCTGGAATATTACGCATTTTAATCTTAACCTTTAAAAATAGTATGCTTCTTGTATGTTAGGAATCTGTCTCAACAAAAGTTAGCCAAAATTTTTAGCCGCACCATTAACTGTGTGTTTGGACTCAACAAATCATTTATTTGTATAAGTCATTCCTTGAATTATTTTTCTGGAACTTTTTTGAAAAATTTTGCACCAAGAAATAGTGGAGTGTGGATAATTTTTGAGTGTTTGTGTATTCAAATATTTATTTTTTCCTCATTTGAATGTTAGCTTAGCAGATAACTAAATTCTGCATGCAAAATCCTTTGTTTATTGAAGCATGTAGAATTTTCCCCTTATTTTGGAGCTCACAATTTTATCAGATTGTATTTGTGTGTGTCTTTAAAAACATTTCAGTTCCTGCTTGGTACCTTGTAGGCTCTTTCTTTTTTTTTTTTTTGAGACGGAGTCTCGCTCTGTCGCCCAGGCTGGAGTGCAGTGGCCGGATCTCCACTCACTACAAGCTCCGCCTCCCGGGTTCAAGCTCCGCCTCCCGGGTTCACGCCATTCTCCTCCTCAGCCTCCGGAGTAGCTGGGACTACAGGCGCCCGCCACCGCGCCCAAGCTAGTTTTTTGTATTTTTTAGTAGAGACGGGGTTTCACCGTGTTAGCCAGGATGGTCTCAATCTCCTGACCTCGTGATCCGCCCGTCTCGGCCTCCCAAAGTGCTGGGATTACAGGCTTGAGCCACCGCGCCCGGCCCTTGTAGGCTCTTTCTATCTGAAGGTTTAAATCTTCCTTCAGCTCAGAAGTTTATGTTTTTTATTTCTTCCTTTCCATCATCTCTTTTTTCTCCTTTTGGGATACCTGTAAATGGGGTAACAAGAAATCCAGGGGTGAGCAGCTCATGTTTTTCTGTCCTCGGGTTCTGCGTTCCTTTGTGGATTTTGTCTTTAGGTTTGCGAGATTGCCGCTGCATCTGTAGGCAGTGTGTCCATCTTCCAGGCAGACAGGAGGAAGGAAGGATAAAGAGCAAAGAGACTGTCCTCTGAGGCTTTGCTTTTTCACTGGGGATGGAATGGTGTCCCCAGGACTTCTACCTGCATCTCACCGGCCAAGCTGTACACATAGCCATTTGTTCAGTATGTTGCTGCAAGTGAGAAGGGGGAGTCAGGTATATGGCTTTCTCTTTTTTTGTAGTAGAGGTAGAAATGGGGATCATGTCAGTCAGTAGACAGTGTCTGCCACAGATGGCTATAGGACCTCTTGGATCTCTCTTCCGGTCTTATAACATCTTTCTCATAATGTTAACCTTTTTTGCCATTTTGTACATATAAGGTCATTATACAGTTTTCTAAGTTGGGTTTCAACCATGTCTATTCTGCTGCTTAGCCACGCAGCTCTCTTTTGAGATTTTTAAAGACGA